TGTCCCTAGGACAAGTACATCCAATTCCCCTTCCTGCTTTGCTCACTTAACAATATTACAGATACGTCTCCTGTCTCTGTGAGCAGTAGCTCCGGGAAGACACCTCACAAGACCACAATTGTCCATCTCCACACCTCTTATGATCGAATCCCCCAACAACAACTGCTTTCTATTAGGCCTCACCATAGTCTCCAAGCTGGTCTCCACAACACCACTAGCCTCAGTGCCTCTCTCCACAAAACCACTAGTCTCAGTGGCTCTCTCCACAAAACTACTAGCCTCAGTGCCTCTCTCCACAACACCATTACACTTTGAAAGTGCAGAAAATGAATTATGTAGAGTAACAGACTGTGCAAAATGCCTTTTATCCACAACTCTAAGTCTACCAGATCCTACAGTAATCCATCTGCCATTCCTAGTATGTCTCTGCGGCAGTGGCTTTGCAGCAGTTCCAGTCTGAGTTTGTTCACCAGATAATTTACAAATCTCAGACTTCAAAAATACAATCTCCTGCCGCAAGATAGAGAACTGTCTACAGATTAGACAACAACCAAATCTCCAAAAAGTGGAACGTGAAACAAATGCATAGCAACTATTACACTGAACTAAGTCTGCCATTCCAATGAGGAGAATAATTTAAATCAAAAAAATCTTAACATTTTTTCTTTATCCTCCTGAATACCTCAGATTACCTCCAGTTTCTCTACAGAATATCTCCAACTACACACTTAGAAGCAACACTTAGATGAAGCAACCAAGCTATATTAGCCAAGCTAATGACAACAACCTTTATATAACTCCTAAAATCACCACCCACTAGGAATGGGTAGGCCTCTGGGTAGGCCTCTGCTTATTTGCAAACAATAGCGAATTTAAACAGCAATCAATAGCAAGTAACTGACTAATCAAATAAAATCCTTTATAATTACCAACAGGAATTCAAACCTTGTGCAATCAGTAACCTTTTCCTACAGATGAATCTTACTTGTAACAGTAGAAAAGAAAGCTCTTAGCACAACTCTTAGACAGTTGTTTTACTGATTTAAACATTCATATTTGTGTTCAGCTAAGTCTCCCGAGTATTACAATACCCCCCATGTACAGGTTTTAATGGTGTTTTTGAAAGTTACAGGCAGGGCCGGTGCAAAGATTTTTGCCGCCCTAGGCAAAATAAAAATTTGATGCCCCCCCATGTGACATCACAATGCCCCACCCATATGATCTGCCAAATGAACTAACGCCAGTGCTGCACACAGTGTGTGTTTACATTAAAAGGCCTGCAGGGACAGGCTATAGACACTGGAACCACTTAATTAAGCAGCAGTGGTTCTGGGGACTATAGTGTGCCTTTAATATGAGGTAAATTAGAGATTAGTGTCACTAATAATATACTAGATTGCCTACTTACAACCAGATGAGCATGGTGATGGGCTGTGGCTGCAGTTTGGCTCCACTGGTCTGGAGTAGAACAGGATCTCTGGAGCCTCTTTGTAACTGTGGTCACAAAATTTTATGTTCTGGGAGAATGGAAGCAGCTCCATTTTTTGGGGCCCCTTACATAGCTCAAGGTCTGGACCCCAGGGCTTGATGGTGAGTATGCCCATAAGGCCCACCCATAAGTCCACCTATATGTTCCACCCATGAGTTTGCTCACAGGGAGTGGAGTGTGTAGGGAATGTGTTACATGTTATTGTAGAGGATCTAATGTGTGTGCTTATGGAATGTAGTTTATAGGGATACCAGTTTGTGTAGGTGATGCAGTGTGTTTGTGTGTAGTGGAAGCAGTGTGTGTTTGTGTATAAGGATTGTATTGTTGGTTTCTTGTGTGTAAGGGATGCATTTTGTGAATCTGTGTTTGTATACATAAGGGATGCAAGGTGTGTGTCTGTAAGTGTGTGCATTGAGTGTGGGTAAGAAATGCATTGTGTTTCTGTGTGTATGTAAGAGAAACAGTGTGTGTTTTTGCATGTGTGTGTAGGAGATGCATTGTGTGTTTCTGTGTATGTGTGCAAATTATGCATTGTCTTTGTGTGTAAGGGTTGCATTTTGTGTGTGTAATAGATGCAGTGTGTGTTTCTCTGTGTATAAGGGAAGCATGTGGTGTTCCTGTGTGTGTAGGGATGCATTGTGTGTGCGCGTAGTGTGAAAGAGCTCCCTGTCCTATAGAGCTCTCCCTTCTGTCCCTTAGAGCTCTCCCTGCCCCTAGATGGTCTCTCCTCTCCCCCCACCCTCCCCTAGTGGTCTCTTCTCACACCCAGCCACTCTCCCTGTGTTTTTCTCTGCCCCCTACCCTCCTTGTGTTCTCATCACCTCCCCTTCTCCTCACCCCCTCTCCCTGTGTTCTTCTCACTCCCCCCATCCCTGTGTTCTTCTCACCTCCCTCCTCCCTGTGTTCTCCTCATCTCCCCGCTCTCCCTGCACCCTCCCTGTGTTCCCTTTCTTACTCCCCTGTTTTCTTACTCCCCTCCTGTTCTTCTTTTACTCCCTCCTGTGTTCTTCTTTCTTACTCTCCCTGTGTTCTTCTTGTACTCCCCTCCCTGTTCTCTCTACTCCCTCCCCTTTCTCTTTTCTTACTCCCCCTCCTTTTTACTCTTCTCTTCTTACTCCCTCCTTCTTCTTACTCCCCCTCTTCTTACTTCCCCTCTTTTTCTTACTTCCCCTCTTCTTCTTACTTCCCCTCTTCTTCTTCTTACCTCCCTCTTCTTGTTCTTCTTACTCCCCCCTTCTTCTTCTTACTTCCCCTTCTTCTTCTTCTTCTTCTTCTTCTTACTCCCCCTGCCCCTCTTTCTTTTCTTTCTTCTTACTTCCCCCTTCTTACTCCTATCTTCCCTACTCCCCATTCCCTCTTCTTTTCTTACTTCACTTTCCCCTATTCTTTCTTACTCTCCCTCTTTCTTTTCTCTTTTACTCCTCTACCTCTTCTTCTCTACTAATACCCTCTTTCCCTCTTTCTACTTCCCTCTTTCTTTCTTACTTCCCTCTCCCCTCTTCTTCTTCTTCTTACTCCACCTCCCCCTTCTTCTTCTTACTCCCCATCCCCATTTTTCTTCTTACTTCCTCCTACCCCAGTTCTTCTTACTCCCCCCTCCCTTCTTCTTCGTACTCCCCCTCTCCCTGTGCTCTGCTCACCTCCCCTTCCCTCTGTAGCGTGGGTGGCCGAGCTCCTCTTCGGTCCGCAGTACAGGAGTTTCTGTTTCCTGTACTCGGCCGGACTGACAGGAAGTGCACATTCAGTGTGCACTTCCTGTGTGCACTTCCTGTCAGTTCGGCTGGGTCGCGGACCGGAGAGGAGCTCTCCCACGCTACAGGAAGGGGAGGTAAAGAGAGAGGCAGTGCTGCAGCTGCCTGAGGCTCTCTATAGAGCGCTCAGGCATTTGCCGCATTTAAAGGGCTGGCGATGGGGGCGCAAGGCACCCCCTCCTATATGGCGCCCTAGGCGGCTGCCTAGTTCGCCTTATAGGAAGCGCCGGCCCTGGTTACAGGGTCGATATAGGGCTTGCCCAATTCAGTTTGCCAGATTGGTTTGCTGCGTCTGTGTTGCATTTTGAGACCATATGGCAGCCCAGGAATGTGAAATAACACCATCATGGCATACCATTTTCAAATGCAGAAAACCCAGGGTATTCAAAATGGGGTATGTCCAGTCTTTTGTAGTAGCCACTTAGTCACAAACGCTGGCCAAAGTTAGTTTTTTATTTGTTTTTTATAAATGTTTTTTTTTCTCAATATATATATATATATTTTGTAGCCGGGGACAAAAGCCGTATACATGATAAGTTAGATATATGAGGAAGTCGGTTGTGGTGTGCCGAAACCGACGTATCGGGTAGGCCTGTAATAAAAGAGGGCAAAAAGTTGAATAAGATACCTTATTACACATCTTTACGTTGCAAGATTCGTAAAGGCTTGTCCTACTCAACTCTAGCTCTGGTTGTGGTATGTATCTAGTAATATACTGTGGATTTCCAGCGTCCTAATGTTTATGGTGTGAGCAGGGACATTTGTCTGGAAGCAGCTGATGCTGCCCTGATTCTGGAGGAATGTCCCAAAAAGGCATTGGGGTTGAGTCCCCGCCTAGTTAAGAGGGTTCTGAGGTACATTATGAATTTAGCTGTAGTGAGTGGTTTGCCCTGCAGTTAAATAGGGGCATATTGAATTTTGGTCCAGTGAGTGTAAAGGTCTGACATTTTTTGGCCGGCACTTTATTGTTCGTAGGATAGTCCTTATGTCCCTACGTATTACATATGGTAAGAGGATGTGAACTGTTTGGTACTAGGATAGGCACTTAAGATATGGTGTTGTATTCCAGCCAGGTAAGTTTTGTAGTGTTGAGAGATTTTTTAAATTGTGTGAGCAAAAAGGAGGAGTGTCGCAATGGCAACTAGTGAACGAATATCGGTATTATGGTAAACGGTGGTAAACTTGTTGTAAAGGTGAAATCTCTATTGTATGCTCATGAAGTATAATCAGAGAGGGAAGCTCAATCCAGAAATCTGCCAAATGCCATGAGGCGAGTTATTGCAGGATGAAGCCATGGAATGTGGGAATAGCCAGCTGTTTTATTGTCAGAGAAGCACTTGACAGGTTCCCCTATCCACTCATACCTCTCCAGGCCTTGTAGACGGCCACTATGGGGTAGATTCCAAAGAAATGTTGACGAGGAATGGAAAGGTTTTTTTTTTTTTGTTTGTTTTTGTTTCGTCTCAACTGGCCAGGCATCTCAGAACCAAAAGTCACCAAATTGCCTGTGAAATCAGTGTGTGCGGACACATTGGTCCATGTAACTGGGAAATTATGAGAAAAGGCGGGAATAAGCTGGCCTCCTATTCCGGTGTGGTATGAACCTGAGACATATGTGTAGGTCTGCTTACAACTAGTGCTAGAATGCAACTGTCGGTGGGAAGAAGACTCAGCGGTCGGGAAATAAATGTGCAGAATAATTCTCATGACGAACTTCAATGTGCCCAGTAGGATTGTAAATCCATTCTCCCCCCCCTCCCCCCGCGTGTTCTTCAGAAGGAAAGGTTCCCAGGACTCCGATGCGCTGTACCTTCTCTGTAGGTGGACATGTTCTGTAGCGTATTAGTGTCAAGATGAATGCCTAAGAAGGTCAGTTTGTGAAAGTGGAACCCATAGTGAGGAAAAGTGCCATCGTCTTGTGAATACTAACCAGAGTGGAGTGAGGGCATTCTATCGCGAGGAAGTTATCTAAGATAACGGGTGACTGCAGGACATTCGCTAATATTGAGTGTTAGTCAACATAGTGTGTTAGCAAATAAGACAAACAGCTTGGAGTTACTCTTTGCTCTAAAAGTTACACATGTGGGAAAGTCATGACAATCCCTCCATAAAATGCCACGAGCATGCCCTCGGGATGGCTGAATAGGTAGAAGCTTGGAGGCATAGGAACACTAGGGTTTGTCCCAGGGAACATGACGATACATATACTGAACATAGGAGTGTGGCGTGTTACAAAAAGGTTTAGCGAATAGGTGGCCATCCGCCAAATAAGTAATATACCTATCATGGGAGCAAGTATACAGATTGGCCATAACACATGGTAACAAATGTGAACGTGATGACTGCCTCAGAACAGTACCAAGTCCATGAGTGATAAAATAAGACATATGCGAAATATGATGGTAATGCCATATACGTAGTGAATATTAAACACTTACCAGAGCTGAATTAGTAATGGGAAACTGACAATATCCGTGCACAATCATAAATAATGGAGGAGAGAGGGCATTAAGAGCAGATATATCTATTCATATAGAATGCCTTATGGGAATATAGTCTTGAAAAAGAATAAAGCAAAATTAGTGTGAAGAGAATGAGTAATGTGAAAAACTTGTGGGTGGGATAACATGTATATAAGTGCAACAAGTGAAAAATATAATACATGCAATGTGTGAATAAAGGAAAGTGAAATAAGTCACTGGAAAAGGAGAATAAAAAAGAAAAGCAAAGGGGAAATATAGGTAATCCTGGTAAGAATTCCAGGGTTATTAGAACAAGACCATTCTCCACAGGTAATAAATAGTGTAACGGACCGTTAAGCACACAAGGGGTTAAAATCTATTTAGGCGATATTCCCCTTCCAGATAGACGAGCATCTACTGCAATCACCAATCTCCGAACAGGAAACACACGAATTCTCCAACTCCCAAACTGGAACCATACGAATGTTGTAAAAGGCCGAACAGGAAAAACCATACGAACAGTTTACCCTCCTGGCAGTCAAGCTGTAACAGCATTCAATCCAATTCCCCCCAAGAATGAGAAGACACTTCGCTTGGAGGGTCAAGCAGTAATCTGTTTAATCTGGGCTACCTGCCCGGTATTTATCCAGGTTTCCCACCAGGTGGACACTCCCATAGGGGACCAGATGGAAAACTGGGATACATAGTGGACATTGACCAATCACAAGCTTACACATTTAAATACTCCCACAATGCATTATAATCCCTCCCCTCTGTCCTGGAGATAATTGGGAAGTAAAAGGACAGAGGCAAAACTCCATTAGCCACATGTTAGTAAAAAGACATAAAATTACACAGTGTTACAATTCCTACATAAACATATACATTCAACATATCCCCAGATAGCTTAGGTGTGAGTGCACATTATTACCGGAACACTCTCTGCTGCTGGGGAGAGGGGGTAACAGGCTCCTCTCCCTGACACTCTCTCTGTTGTTGGAGAGGAGGACCAACTGTCTCCCCTTTCAATACATTGTCCCGTTGCTGGGGAGCGAGACAGACTGTCTCTGCTCCCTGCAGGACACACCGCCGCTGGGGAGGGAGACCGGTTGTCTCCTCTCCCTGTAATACACTCGGCTGCTGGGCAGAGTGACCGACTGTCTCCTCTCCTAAGGAGACACACTGCCGCTGGGGAGGAAGGACGGCACCTTCAGCTCCCTGGGACTCACACTGCTGCGGGGGAGGAAGGACGACACCTTCGTCTCCCTGTAACTCACTTGACTGCTGGGGAGAGGGACCAACTGTCTCCTCTCCTAAGAACACACACTGCCGCTGGGAAGGAAGGACGGCACCTTCCACTACTTTCCTCGTGCTCTGTACGTATTTCTCCTGTGGATTGGGTCCGAAGAAAGCCAGCAGCTCTTTCATCATAGCGTCAAACTCCTCCTGAGTGTATCTGGGCGCCATGCTTGCTCTGCCGAAAGTTGGTTCCTTTGTAGATAGGGGTGCTGTACGGGTACTAGCGTTGCCCTCCATTTGTAATCCAGGAACTGGTGTTGCCTTGTAGCTGTCCTTCTGGGCTGTGGGAATGATCCCGCCGCTTGCCACCAATTGTAACTGTGATAGAATTTATTTTGATTCCAAGGCTCAAGCTTATAGGTGTTATATAATGATATCCTATATTAAAATTAGCTAACTTGGACTCAGGAAATGCTTGATGCTTAACACAACACTTAAGACCATATATGTCTAGTTCCGGGAGCAGAGAGCCTCCACCTGAAATGTCTCTTCTCTAATCTGTTTGTTCTTTCTTACCTTGAAACTTATTTGTTATGTGTACATGACGTTCATCCCTATGTCTTATCTGTACTCCCTTCCTATTACTGTTCTAAGAGTATTTGCCCGTAAGCACTTACTTTTTAATGTATAAAACCCAGCTGATGAATAAAACGGCAGAGGCTTATTTTGAATACCACCAGGTGTCTGGTGTCTAATTCTCGCTTCTCCAAGTGCACTTGTAATAATAATTTGGGCTTCCTCTCAATATAACAAAGATCATTATTTGAATCCACAACATAAGGGACCATTAAGCACACAAGGCGTTAAAATCTGTTTAGGCGATATTCCCCTTCCAGATAGACAAGCAGCTACTGCAATCACCAATCTCCCGAACAGGAAACACATGAATTCTCCAACTCCCGAACTGGAAACACACAAATTCTCCAACTCCCGAACTGGAACCATATGAATGCTGTAAACAGCCGAACATGAAAAACCATACGAACAGTTTACACTCCTGGCAGTCAAACTGTAACAGCATACAATCCAATTCCCCCCAAGAACGAGACGACACTTCGTTTGGAGGGTCAAGCAGTAATCTGTTTAATCTGGGCTACCTGCCCGGTATTTATCCAGGTTTCCCACCAGGTGAACACTCCCATGGGGGACCAGATGGAAAACTGGGATACATAGTGGACATTGACCAATCACAAACTTACACATTTAAATACTCAGACATTGCATTATAATCCCTCCTCTCTGTTCTGGAGATAATTGGGAAGTAATCCAATTATCTCCAAAGACAGAGGAAAAACTCCATTAGCCACATGTTAGTAAGAAGACATAAAATTACACAGTGTTACAATTCCTACCTAAAACATATACATTCAACTTTTCCCCAGATAGCTTAGATCTGAGCGCACATTATTACCGAATGGCGCTCAGATCACATACATACAGTTCAATCACCATGGAGCCAAAGTCTTTCACATAGTCTTTCGTTACACGAATGGGCTCCATTGCATAGCTATCTGGGGTAACACTGCTCACATAGGGAAAGTACCGAATGGACGGTGTTCGTATGAATTGCAGGAGAAGGAAGGTCAGCAGCTCAGCGGTGCTCATGCAAATAAGTGTCCGTTTTGAGTTCCATAGATTTGGAGCTGAACACCGCTGGCCGTTCGGGAGTTTAAGATGGCCGCTGCCACGTGTTCGGTTATATGAACAGCGGCCACCCAGCGCTCTGAAACTGCTATGTTTACAGCAGAAAGGGTTAATCCTAGATGTACCTGGCACCCAGACCACTTCATTAAGCTGAAGTGGTCTGGGTGCCTATAGTGGTCCTTTAAGGTAAAGAGCTGTACTGGCTTTCCACCAAAAATACATTTCTTACATTAAAGGGACATGCATCACCTTGAGCCAACCGTCAAAAGCTTTAGCTTTGAATGAGATAGTTTCCATACTCTGCCAAAAAGCAGATATCTGTAATTTCTTTTTATATTTACCAGTTTCTTCTTTCTTTTGCCTTTTCCCACTTCTACTCAATCAGTATCCTATTTATCCAGATTTACACACGTGAAGCCAAAATATATCTTCACCTGGCAACATCCTGACTGAAGGAGAAGGAAGGGAATCTGATCAGTGTGATACATGAAGAGTAGGCTCTGGTGTAAGGTTTCTCTCTCCTGCTGCTACACAGTGATGCCCTGTTTCTGTCATTATCGGATTGGTCTGAAACTTAGATGGGTTGGTAAGGAGTGGGGCGGGGGCTGAAGAAACTCTCCAAGTTTAGATGTGTGCCCAATAATTCAACCTGACCAAATTTATAGAAAGTTTATAAATGTTTATTACATATTTTCAATGTTTTTCTTGCTTTATTTTGGCTTGCATATTTGTTTAAATGTGTTTGCTTGCTGGTTTAATACAAATAGACCATAAGATAGTTTCCACTTTGTACTGGGAGGTTGAAAATGTCTTCCAAAAACTGCTCCACTTTACCATTATCGTCCGGCTTGTATTTGTGCAGAATACAAAATAGTTGTGATATGCAGATTGTGCCTGTAACTCCTTTAAAGAAACACAAAAGAGTGCTGCTGTGGTTATAGTTCCAGGAACAGAGGGATTTATATATATATATATATATATATATATATATAACAGCTACTCGACCTATTTGAGTATTTTAAATTTGTTTGCACTTTCTTAATCATATTTGATTGTTTATAGTTCCAGGAATGCCTGGTCCCATCTTATGGTAAGTACTAGAAACCAAAATGTGAAACTGCACTCAATCTATTAAAGGAACACTGTAGGTTCAGAATACAAACATGTATTCCTGACCCTATAGTGTTTAATCCACCATTTAGGTGGCTTGCCCCCCCCTTAGTCCCCTTAGAAAAGGTGAAAACTCACTTTACTTCCAGTGCTGCGCAAGTCCACCCACGCTGGTCCAACCCCGATCCGCCTCCTTGGTGGCATCATCAGAATTGCCTGATTTTTAGCCAATCCAATGATTTCCCCTAGGGAAATCATTGGATTGGCTGAAATCAGTAAGGAGGCAGAATGGGGATGTGGTCAAGCGCCATTTTAGCCAATCAACACATCCTCATAGAGATGCATTGAATTAATGCATGTCTATGAGGAAAATTCAGCGTCCCCATGCAGAATGTGGAGATGCTGAATGGCAGTGCAGCACTGCCCTAAGAAGCACCTCCAGTGGCCATCTGAGGAGTGGCAACTTGGAGGTGTCCCTAGGGGGCAATGTTAACATTTTCACTGCCATTTTGTTCTCTAAAAAGGC